GGAAAGTAGCCCACATTCTCACTAGAGCCCAGCTTCCGTGTGAGCTGAGGACACAGCACAAAGCCTCTCCATGGTCAAGGTATCCAAACCCTAAAGGGTAGAGAAACGAGCATGGTTTAAAATTTGATCCCATTGCTAAAGACCTGTGAGTGTCCATAGAACGTGTACAAGATGGATGCATAGTCTCATTATCCAAAATAACCAGGATAATATATCTAAAATATCCAAGATAAACCGACATGGCCTGCAACCAGAGCTGGAAGGAGCTTCAAGAAGGATGGAAACCCCATGCCCACAACGCCTGCCACCCTACGGCTTCCCCATGGCTCTATTCTAGTCTCACTCAGTGTCCTTTGTCTGTGTAGTTGCACCGACTTCCATGGCAGAACCAGCAAGCGTGGATATGGGCAAGGCGAGCCATTTTCCAGCTCAGCCTTCTCCTGTGGTCTTGGTGTGCTGGCTTTTCCACTTGTTTTCCCTCTCACCAAGCACGAACCAAAGGAACCATCTTTCTTCGCTATACTTCCTGACAGCCCAGGGCCCTCAGCTGCCAGCCGGTCATTCCCCTCCTCGCTTCTCAAGCACAACTCATGGCCCGGCCTTTTCTCACCATGCTTCGGCCATTTTCCCATGATCACCACCGTCTTTCTGATGTAACCTGTGCTCCCAGGGTGCATATTTCTATGGTTTTTCTTCATCCACAGGACAAAAACTACTTTCCTTGTTTTGATGTTTCACATCTGAGGCACCTGACTCCCCTGCTGAGTATCTCCACCATATACCAAGCATTTTCTCTACCCTAATATTCTGTGGCCCTGACTTTCGCTGCTGATATTCCTACTATGTGAGGTGACCTCTACACGATGGTTTGCTCAACGGACTCCAAGCTGCCCATCCTCTTAGCAGCGGCATGCAAGGAGCTTCTTCTCCCAGCCTCGGCAACCCCGAGTGTTCATTGTTCTGTGCTATCCCCGGATTTGGGTATTCCCAGCGCTTATACTGAAGCTGGTCTCGTTTTCGCATGGGACTCAATTGTGCTCTCTGGATCACAAGTTTCTTGATGACAATGGCATGTCTTTACAGAATCTGACTTCTGCTAACAGTACCTAGCAAACACTGAACAAACAGTATTGCCTCAGCCGGCAGGGAAGTCTGCCTCACGTGGAGCAGGAGCATCTTTCTCACACTGCATGAGAAGGTGTCTGTCTAGCTTGGGACCTGCATTGCTACGTCTGACCGAAGCAAACTAGATAGATGAAGCTAAACAGTAGTACCCTGAAGACAAATAGATTCCAAATTTATAGTTCACTTCTCTGAAAAACCCCCTCTGTGACTTTCATGTACCTGAATCTTCCAACCATAGCCACAGCTTCACACGTAGGAATGGGATCCAAGCTAAGAAATAAAAATGGTTCTCAACACTGCATCCGGCAAGATGGTGTCTAGGCTTTGGTTGGAGCTCATGCCTGGCTGACTTCTTAGAGAACGCGGCAGCACAGTCACTGGAGTTGCTGCTTGTGGGAATGAAAGTCAAGGCTCTTGGTTCTCTTGCTTGTTTCCCTTCTAATGGAGTTCTGTTTTCATCTCTGTCAAGGGAAAGTCGCTCCCCACCAATCAGAGAGAGAGAGCGGTTGGTAGGCTATGTTCTTTCCTGTTGTTCTTTTGGGATTCGTTGTTGTTGTCGAGACAGGCTCTTACTGTATAGCAGGGAGGCTGTGTTCTTAAGAACTGAGCTTTCCTCCTCTTTGCTCACCCATCCTCGCTGCAGGAAGGAAAGAGACCTCCTCGGGCACATGGTGCTGAGCTAGGCGCTCTACAAGCACGCTGACTGTCTTAAGGAATATGAGGTCAAAGAAGCCTGCATTTCCCAGGAATATGCCTGGAAATAGCTCATCAGGAAGGCCTAGCTCATCCCGTTGTGAAGTTGGATAGGAACCTTTCCCAGGAAAACTACACACAGTGACCTGCCTTTTGAAGAAATGAGTGAGGCGAGCTTGCCCAGCCCTGCCTATCCCAGGGGATTCTAGCTGTCCGAATTGCTTTCTAGAAAAGAAGTAGCAGTTAGTGAGCTGAGAGTTGCCCCTCATGCTTCCCGACTCAAGGGTACTATTGTCGCTGGGGTTTATAAAGCACCCAGTTTGCAGCACGTCTTTAAAGCTACGGATTTTGCATGACTGAACTTTAGGGAGCTTGTTTTTTTAAAAAAAAAAATGGTCCATGGAATTGTTCCATCTTCATTTGAAAAGAATTGTGTCCAAGTGTAACACTGGCTTACCCAGACTTCTCTGAATCATGACGGTTGTGTTTTCTGAGCAATGACTTGGAACTTTTCAAAAGTGTGAATGGCAAACACAAAGCCTGGGGACAAAGTGATGGCGTGTAGCCCACCAGAAACCTGGAGGTGCAGTTAACATGGCCAACATGGCAACCCAGGCTTACCCCGTCTGCAGACGTGTTAGCGCTGGTCCAGCAAAAGCAACTCTGTGACATAGAATGAAGCCTGGTAAAAGACTCTAGGATGTTCTATCAGGACAGTTACAAAACTTCCAACCTGACGTGTCCTGAAATCATGACCCAGGGTGGTTCGCACTAAGGAATGTGAGGCGTTAGCACTGTCACCTGGAGAAGGCTTGTCTGAGCGCAGTTCATGATGGTCCCAGGGGAACTCTTTTATCACCGTAGATGGAAGGACTTCCAAGCATGGAATCAAGTAATTTCTAGTCTGAAACAACAGAGCTGGATGTTCCATTCTCAGAGACCCCCATCTGTGCTCCTCACACCACTGCAAGTACCCTCAGCAGGCTGGTGGCCACCTGCTGTGTCCCCCGTCCTGAGCCTCCTGTGGTTTTCCCAGGGGGCAAAGCCTGAAGTCAGAGTTGACTGGTTTCCATCAGCACTAGTTATCTATTCTAAACCTTGAAAAAAGGGGAAGATCTCCCGTCTTTGAATGCCTGTGGTAGCTCATCACTGCCTCACAATGAAACACTTTGTAATCAATGGTACAAAATCTTGTGACCAATTTGAGTAGGGATGGGATGATGTGTTGTTTTTTACTCTTTTGGCTCTTTTGCTTTTGGGGGGGGCTGCCACCCAGCTCCCAAATAAATAAATGAGGCTTATTATTACTAATGAATATCTGGCCTTAGTTTGGCTTGTTTTTTTGACAACTTTTCTTAAATTATCCCGTCTATCTTTTACTTCTGGGCTTTTATCTTTCTCTATTTTTTTCTTAATATTTATTTATTTATTTATCTATTTATTTATTATGTATACAATATTCTGTCTGTGTGTATGTCTGCAGGCCAGAAGAGGGCACCAGATCTCATTACAGATGGTTGTGAGCCACCATGTGGTTGCTGGGAATTGAACTCAGAACCTTTGGAAGAGCAGGCAATGCTCTTAACCACTGAGCCATCTCTCCAGTCCTATCTTTCTCTATTTCTGTATACCTTTCCTTACTTCTTACTCCAAGGCTTACTGTGTAGCTGGGTGGCTGGTCCCTTGAGTCCCCCTCCTTTGCTTGCTCCATGAGCTTCCTTCTTTCGTTTTCTCCTCCTATTTATTCTCTCTGCCTGCCAACCCTGCCTATCCTTTCTCCTGCCTTGCTATTGGCCATTCAGCTCTTTATTAGCCCAATCAGGTATTTTAGGCAGGCAAAGTAACACAGCTTCACAGAGTTAAACAAATGCAACATAAAAGAATGCATGTGGTACATCTTTCCTCATTAAACTAGTATTCCACATTGTGTACAAATGTAATACCTCTTAAAATAATATTCTACAATAATACCTCATAGAAAGGAAGAATGACACTTACCCAGTACCTTAGAATCTCAGAAGACTTACAATCTCTATTTACTTAACTTCCTGCTGGCAATCTCTGCAGCTCTTGTGAGGATTTGGTACAATGTAGGAATGGGCTGATACTCAGGAGACCTAGGTTCTAGTCCCCTCTTGAACATATTCTTACTCTGTGATCTAGATTTAATGGCACAAACGTTGCCATCTGTACAGTGAATAGAGGTAGGGAAAGACAATTCCGGAAACATTTTTGAAGATCATCTCAGCTCAAAAATTCTGACTTGAGAATCTTTGGGCGAATGATTTATTTCAGTTGTAATTAGCAAAACAATGACTCAGCAGCTTTTCCCTCCTGAAATTTTCTTAACTCTAAAACACTGAACCTGAGATTTGCTTCAGTTGTGCCTTGAATTGTCCATCATCCTATGGTCCAGGTAGCATTTGGATTCTTGGTGTTGTGATATCTATTGGGTTGGTATGAAAAGAAGTCAAAGACGCATTCAAATGCATCCCAAAGGTTGGAAAAGTGTCTAGCAACTCTCCCCCAACAATGGCAATGCAGTAGTCAAGAATGCCCTTTATCCCACGGGGGGCTAAGGAGGCAGAGGAAGCATCAGGCAGGGCATTTATGGGGTGCAACTGTTGCATATATTTCCTGCTTCTAGAAGAGGCTGGCATAGCGTATGGAGATTTGCGTTGAGCCTCCAAAAAAGAAAGCCAAGAAAAAGAGAAAGTGTCTTGGAGGTATATATAGACTGTCGTGTCTGTTTTCTGTGTTCTAAGTTAGTTCCTCCCAAGACAACACTAAAACAGCCCAGCTAAGACAGTGGCCCTTTGCATTTTATTTTATTATGGTGAATTCCTTTGATAACTTTAAAGGTACTCTGGAAGAGCCTACATAAAAACCTGTGTATATATGTGGAATTCCTGTTTGCCCTGAAATATTTAGCGCCAAGTTAGCAATGCCTGTTCTGAGGTAGAATAAAGGGACCCAGTGGGGTTGTCAGGTCAGCCCAAAGCTTTCTGAGGCATCATTTGCTGCCCAAATGAAGTAATAACTTTTTTTTTTCTTTTTTCTTTCCTCTGACCATCACCCTCTCCCCCTTTTGTCACCTTTTGACACACCTTTGTCCCATCTTTTGTCACCTCTTCTTGTTCCTTTCATTTCTCTCCCCATTTCTTGCACATCTTGCACCACAGATGTTCCAGCTTGGTTGAAAAGCCTCCGCCTGCACAAATACGCTGCTCTGTTCTCGCAGATGACTTACGAGGAGATGATGGCCCTCACTGAGTGTCAACTGGAGGCTCAGGTATGTGCATGCTCGAGGGAACCCTTCCCTGAGGCAGGGTCTTGAGGCTCTGCCCCAAACAGAACTTGTTTAGACCCATAACTTACCTAGCCACTCAGTAGCTTGCCTGGATCTGGGACCTGCCTGGTACTAACTGGGCCCCATGATAAGCAAGCCTAAGTTTTTGCCTTGACAGCTCAGTGGAAGACAAAGATCAGTAGGCACTCACGGGCCAGTGGAAGGGAGAGCACGTTAGGAAAAGACAGATCCAAATACACCAGAAAAAGTCCTGGGTGCTAAGAAAGAACCTGCAGCACTGCCTAGAAGTGACCTTGCCTCATTGTTCCAAAGAGTGTTGCTCCCTAGCTCTTTTCGCCCCTCTACCGAGCCAGGACTTGTTTGGGTAGGGACAGATTCCTTGTCTGTTTATCCAATCTGCTTACATATCCACGAACTTCTAACTGGGCCCGTCGGGACAGTAGCACAAACTCCACGACAGTCGGGAAAGCCGCACACACTCCATGACAGTCGGGAAAGCCGCACACACTCCATGACAGTCGGGAGAGCGGCGCACACTCCATGACAGTCCGGAGAGCGGCGCACACTCCATGACACTTTTCCAAAATTTATCCTGCTGGTCTTAGTTGAGATCGGAGTAAATTGTTTAAAATACTTCCTTCTAATCAGCTCAAATAGTAGGGGACAATGACTGGAAATGAGATATCCAGGTCTCAGAAATTACTCCCTTCTGAAGTCCTAAAAGGGCAGAATTCCTCAAGTGTGAATGCCAAAGACCAGGCAACAGTGCTCCTGAAACTAGGAATGTTTCTGCCATGCCAGGCTCTAGCCAACAGAGCTAATGGATGCTTTTGTCTCCCTGTTGAAAATGCTGTTTGTGTGTCTCAAACTGACCCCAGCTTCCTTTGAGCAATGATTTGAAGAAAACGGTGCTCTAAATGAGTTGATATTTCTCCTGCAGGAAAGAGAGGTTGTAGCATGTGGTCATGGCCTGTCCAGTCGCATGCCTCCCTACCGACATCGGCTTTCCTCGTATTCGGTACCCTCCGTTCCCCCTCTACAGGCCCGGTAAAATACCAGTATTGAGAGCCAGACAAAGCCTGAAGTCACTGAACATTCTCAGAGAGTCAAAAGCACCAATGTCAACTTCCTAGCATTTCTCCCACAACTTCTTGGATCTCAGCTGCTGCCTGAGATCCCAGGGGTTGATGGGAACTATTTCAAAGAGCAATTTGTGTTTAGGTCAAAGCTGAGAGAGAATCTAAGTCATCAGTTGTTCAAAGAGAGAGGAGAGAGAGGAAAGAAAGAAAGAAAGAAAGAGAAAAGGAAAGAAAGAAAAGAAAGAAAGAAAGAAAGAAGAAAGAAAGAGAAAGAACAGACATAGAGGGCAGTGCTAGAGCCTGACACAAACTTTTCAAAATAATTGAATTCATTTTGTTCTGAAAATTACAGCTAAACAGAAATACATCCCCAGTGTTTCCAGACGAGATGCCACTGTCACTCTTGTCTCCTCCCTGGTTAAGAGGGATTTTGGAATAGTGGCACCTGAACAGAAATTTGCCTTAGGGACCTGGTTAGGAAAAGGATCCTTTCCTGGGAAATGTGCAGACTCGACCACCACAAGGCTCTGATGAAATCCTCTCACTTACTGCTGTAGCCAGTTTAAAATAACATCCACAACTCTGCACAGTTACCTGGAGTGAAATGAATTCCACTTTTCATAGTGGAAAGGAAAAGGAAGGTTGCAGATTTACAAGAGTTCCCTGTGTGCTGGTGCACATGGGCAGCACTGGGCTTCATGGCTTCTGCAGATGCGCAGCTGCAGGAAGGCCTTGAGCACGCAAAGACCAAAGAGAGATCTCAGGGAAACCAAGAGGGACTGAAGTAGACCTGAGGACAGGTGTCTCTTAATAATATATATATTTATAAAATTTATATTGTAATAATATATAATACACATATATAATTTATATACTAATATATATAATTTAAGATGGTGAAAAAATCTCATGTTGCATGGGATAACCAGCTGTTGTACACCTCTCTGTCTAGAAGGTCATTGTCAAGCTTATAGCCAGACGGAGTCAGGAGAGGTCAGGAGAGGTTTAGGACAGTGATATCAACAAGAAGAAACACATATTGGCCAGTCTGTGAACATGTGGGAACAAAAAAGACAAAGTAATACATAGCCTCTGAGAGTCTCTAAGCTGATTCTTGAAAATGAGATATATCTAATATATTTTTTGCATTTAATTACAGAATGTTACCAAAGGCGCAAGACACAAAATTGTAATCAGTATTCAGAAGCTCAAAGAAAGACAAAATCTCCTGAAGTCTTTGGAAAGGGTAAGTGAGCAATTAGCCCAGGGGACATTTCCACCTGCTTCCTGGGAAGAGAGTAAAGAGACCCAGCTGAGGGTGTAATTTATTAGGTCTTAGAGTCCGTGTGACTTCCTGGTTATTCATGCTTCCTTAGATCCGGATGTTGTGTGAACCAATCCCTCTGGGTCCAAGCTGCTAGTGACCTACCATGCTTGCCTTGGGTGAAGTGAAACCAATGCTCCCTCCATGGGTCCATCTCCCCTGCCTTGTAGGCCACCATAGAGCATGGTGAAGTACTCTACACACAGCAAGGGCTGGCACGGACAGAGCAGCACAGGAAATGCCAGTGTGCCTGTTCCAACTGTCTACCCTGAGCATCTAGTTTATAGAAAGCCACCCAGGGGTGGCAAACATTAGCAGGAAGACTTTAGGATCCAGTGGGGAGAGGGTCGAATGTATTGGCACAGCTAGAGTTGGCTTCAGACTTCAACTTAACAGCAGATGACATCTCCATGACTCAGCCAGGAACCACCACAAAACAGTGCAACACCAACAGCAATCTGCAACCGTGAGCCCCGACACCATGCTGGGGTGATGAGTGACTCACGGGCTCCAAGTTCCTTTCTTTGCTCATTTTCCTCAGAGAGATGCCTGCGGACTAGCAGAAGTTCCTTGTTTGTGATGTTGCCTGTTGGTTCTGGAGTTGAGCAGTTTTCAGATGCCTGGCATCCCACTAGCTGCCAGCACAAGTGTAGACTGTGAATCTCTCAGCAAACCCAGGAAGCCTTTGGAAAGGGTCAAGGCAGGGCTCCAGCAAGTTCCTAAAGCAAGTGTTTTAATGGAGTGAGAATTTTTTTACAAAGCTATTCACAAAGATATGTGTGTGCTTAGTATTGTGTATAGCATGTTAAGTTGCATTAAGTATGTACCGAGACATATCATTTATATTTGAAGAACAGACATACAAAAATGCATCAGGAAATTTCTTTTTAAAGTCCCTTCATGGCAGATAGGTAGGAACTACTCACATGCACGTCCCTGGGTAAAGCATGCTCTTAAACAAAGGGAATTAGACATGACATGCCAGCTCTCCACCTAAACCTGAGGTCTGGGTGTTGTTCTTAATGTTATGCTAACTTCTCTGCCAAGCAGCTTGTCTAACAGAGTGATTATGGCTATTTTTAATCTAAGAAACTGTTCTCTTTTGGAGAACATTCAAAAAGCCAATTTACTCATTGTCCATTGGAAACTACACAAAGTGTTTTGAATGAAGATTAAATTGTAAGTCTGTTCCCTCTCATTTCTGGAACATCCTTTAGGAATGCATTAATAGCTTCTGTGAATGCAGAAGCAGGGCTCTCTCTTGCCTTCACCCTTGAGCTGACATCCATGTATCGTGTGTGTGCGTGTGTGTGTGTGTGCACGTGTGTGTGTGTTAAAGGGGTCATGTTCCTTTGACTTGGGATCAGTTAAGTCAGTGATATTCTGTGTCCTAGAGTTATATCTAGAATTACATTGACTATACAAAAATGCTTCCTCCGTGATCTCCTGAAGTAGAAAAGATCAAAAGATGCCAAATGTACCATGACTGCAGCTGAGCAAGAGGAAAGCGGGTTTGTTCTCTTTGCCTTCCTGGAGACTGGAAAGCCATGCCTGTCAGATGACCACAGTAAGCTAACCCAGGGTGTGCTGGGAGCCTGAGCTGGGCCGTCCCCCCAGGAGCACACATCCTTGAGGGCTGAGTCCCGACTCGCTCCTTTGGTGCCCACGAAACTTTCCTGCTGTTTATGGCAGGGGACTCTTAGTCCCCTGCCACTGCTGGTGGCTCAGGGACTCAGCTGAGGCATTCTCACAACCCTGCCTGATGACGCTATTGGAAATGTCACCACCCCTGCCTGCCTCTGGCATTCTTACGTCACATAGAACCCACATTTCTAAGGAGATAGCTGGGACCCCGCCCGTAGCTAGTTCATAATCAGTAGAAGCTGCTGGCTGCGTGTTCCAAGCCCTTCCATTCAGTTACCGACCGCTTGCTAAGCAGATGTTTGGACACACTCTGCTCATCCTTGCAGGGTAACTGTGAGTGGTACGTGTTTCCTGCCCCTGGGCATCTCGGAATGTGCACTGTGACAGCAAGATATGGTAGCTGCTGAGCTCACAACCCAGGGTGATTTGTGTCATCATTGAGGACAGAGCGAGAACTTCCCTAAACAGCTTGGTAGATGCCAGATGCTGTTGGGGTCTTGTGGACCCCTGCAACACAGATAAAAAGGTGGAAATGGAGAATTCACGTGAAGGGACCCCAGAAATTGTTAAAAGGTTTGGATCAGATGGTTTTGGTTTGGTTTGGTTTTGGGTTTTAGTTTTTCAAGACAGGGTTTCTCTGTAGCTTTGGATCCTGTCCTGGCACTAGCTTTTGTATACCAGGCTGGCCTCGAACTCACAGAGATCCACCTGCCTCTGCCTCTATAGTGCTGGGATTAAAGGCATGCACCACCACCACCACCCGGCTTGGTTTGGGTCAGATGAAGTGGCATTTGAGGGCAGAATTATAGGGCTTACTGGGGGCCTGGGGAGAAAGGGGGTTGAGCTTGCTGCGGCACCTGTGAGACACCAAAGCGGAAATGGCAGGTTGGTAGCCACAAAGCAAATTTGAGTCCTAGGCATGGCAGGCCACAAATGACCCAACTGTGAGTGAGTATCCCCAAGAGCGTGTCTGAGTGACAAGGGCTGAAGGAGTGCCATCAGAGAGGACCTGTGTTAACAGAGGCTGATCTGAGAGCCCTGCCTCGAGGGACCAGGGAGGGCGAAAGAATCCCAACGAGGTCTGTGAATGTGTTGTAGACTGTAAAGACTGGGTGGGCATGGCCTCTGCACTGGCAGTCGGCGGGCACTGTGGCCATGGAGAGAAAAGGTTTCCGGAGATTATTAGAGATCCAGAGCAGAAAGGCTGGCAGCACGAGTGTGGCTGTGTGGTGACACAGAAGTGCCGGGTTGTGGGCTTCATGAGCTGCTGGAGAGAAGAGGAAAAGGACATTCAGAAGAGCTTTTTCTCAATATTAATATTTAACAAGGATAAATGTCCCCATGTGCTTTTATACATTGTCTCTCCTTTTCAACACACTTCTGGGTTCTGAAACAGAACCATTTTCTGGGCCTGTAACCTTGATGCTGAGCAAGGAGCTAGGAGATGCGTGTGTGTGTGCACACGCGCACATGCATACACACACACACACACACACACGTTCTGTTGATTCCTGCTCAGAGAAAGAAAGCTGCTTCTCTAGATGTCTATGCCTTTTCTTCAGACATTCCAGACCTTGGCCTTTTGAGGTTACATCTGTGGCCCTGCTTTTGGCAACTACTGCAGAGCAACAGTAGCTCAACTGGATAGCATTGTGTGATAAATATCTCCAGGAACAATGCCTTTACAAAGGCACCTATGGTGGATCCAGCCAAGGGAGGTCTTGTGCACACCATTGCATCTGGCCCCACAGTCTCCTCACAAAGCATTCAAGACAGAGGTCTCTTTTGTGAAAATGGAACTCAGGGGAGGGCACCTGCCCTAGCGAGTGGATTCATGGTGAGCCCTGCAAAATCACCTCCCCTTCATCTCTTGGTATCTCATGCATTTGTTTGTCTTGTCCAGTAATGCAAAACACACATGAGGGTGGGGGAGAGGGGAGACAGACAACGAGAGGGGGAGAGAAAGAGAGAGAGAGAGAGAGAGAGAGAGAGAGAGAGGAGAGAGGAGACAGAGAAGAGAGATTGTGAACTCGAAAACCAGCAAACCCATTTGTAGTGGTATTTCATTTGTATGTTAATAAATAAAGCTTGCCCGAGGATCAGAAAAGTAAAGCAGTCACACTGGCCATCTTACAGATCAGGCAGCAATGACACAATGACCTTTAATCCCAGGAGCCACACTAGCTTGCCAAAGAAGTGTGGGGGTGGTGCACGCCTTTAATCCCACAACTAGAGAGGAGACAGCTCTTGGTCTTAGTCTCATTCTGAGATTCCTGGAGGCAGGATCACCATTTCTGACTGAGGTAGAAGTAAGAGCCAGTGGCTAGCTGTTTTGCTTTTCTGGTCTTCAGGTTGAACCCCAATTTCTCTATCTGTCACACATCACCCATTCTGTCCCCGAGCTCCTGTCCACATGCTATCTTGCCATCGAAGTCTTGGGAATGTCGAGCCTCTCAGAGTAGGGATGAGGACTTGCCTTTATATTCCCACGTAGCACAGTGCTTCGCTGCTGGCGAGCTCAGCTGCTGGCTGGTGGATGGAGGAAGAGAGGGCACAGATTTAGGTAGAAACAGGAACCCTATATGTTATGAAACCTTCAAATTATCACCACCCGGAGGGAAGGATGGGGCCAGGGACATTCCAGGAGCACTCTGTGAGCACTGTGGCTGCCCCCAAGCTCTCTTTCCGATGGTTTATACATGGTTTTTACCATGCTCGGGAAAGGCGCTAAACCAGCACCCTTCCAAGGCCTTGAAAGCCAGCGCTAGGCTGATGTTACTATAATTTCCCTCTCATTTGTCCCCTGAAATATCTCCTCAGAAGTGGAGCCTGACTTCCTGTCACCTGCCTCCAGATAAGTCCTTGTTGGGCAGCTTTAAGGCAGGGTCATTGGACAGCTTCATTTTGCCTTTGTATTTATAATGTAAGATTACATTTGAGGCATGAAGGATCAATAGAGACTTGTCAATGTGGAAAATTAATTCCCACAGCTAAAGGAGAACACTAGACCGGATTCCCTTCAGACTGCCTCCTGGCTTGCTGCTCACTGTGGACACTCAGCTGAGATCAGGACTGTAACCTGATGGTCACAGTTTATTGAGACAGGGTCTGCCACTGTCTACAACTCATGGAATAGGCTAGGCTAGCTGGCCAGTGAGCCATAAGGACCCACCTGTGTCTGTCGCCTCAGGTCTGGGATCACAAGTGTGCACTACCACACTTGGCTTCTGTCTCTGTCACCTCAGGTCTGGGATCACGAGCACACACTACCACACCTGGCTTTTTTTTTTAAATAAAGAAGCCATTTTACTGTATTTAACCACTGAGCCATCTCTCCAGCTGATTCTCTGTAATTAGCGATGGCCCCTCAAGGCTGTCCTTTGTGTCTGTCCCCATACTTTTTTTTAACATACCAATCCCAGTTCTCCCTCCCACCTCTTCTCCCTCTCCCCTAACTTTTCCCCACCGTCACCCCATCCACTCGAAAGTGAGGGTAAGGCCTCCTCTGGGGAAGCCACCTAGGTCTGTCCCATGACCTCATCAAGGGAGGACCAAGCCTCTCTCCCCACCCCATTCCCACCTTGCCTAGGCTGAGCAAGATGTCTCTCCATAGAGAATGGGCTCCACGAAGTCAATTCACACATTAGATCCTGGTCCCATGGCCCCATATAAGCCCAGGTCACACCACTGACAGCTGTATTTAGGGGGCCTATTCAGTTCTGTGCAGGTTCCCCAGTTAGTCCAGAGTCAGTGATCTCCCACTAGATCAGTCAGCTGTTTCTACGGTTTCTGTATCATGGTCTTGACCCCTTTGTTTATATAATTGCTCCTCCCTCACTTGGATTGTGCTCTGGGAGCTTGGCCCAATGGTTAGTTGTGGATCTCTGCATCTGCTTCTGTCTGCTTCTGGAAGAGTGTTCTAGATGCTCTGAGGTTGTGGGGCTGTAGACTGGTCATTGTTTTATGTCTGGTACCCACTTTTGAGTGAGTACATATTGTATTTGTCCTTCTGGGTCTGGGTTACCTCACTCAGGATGTTTTTTTTTTTCTAATTCCATCCATTTGCCTACAAGTTTAAAGATGTCATTGTTTTTTACCGCTGAGTAGTGCTCCATTGTGTAAATGTACCACATTTTCTTCATCAACCGCCGTGGAAATCAGTATGGTGATTTAGCAGAAAATTAGTAATCAATTTTATTTATTTATTTATGTAAGTTCTGGGGATTGCACACAGGTCTTTAGCTTTCAAAACCAGCACTTTACCAACTGAGCCATCTTTTTAGTTTCTCATGGTTTCGTTTCTTGCCCCTACAGAAGATGAACATAGGAGCTAAAGTTAGGGTGTATCTGCATTAGTTTAGCTCTTAGTGTAACCAAATTCTCCCAAGTATGCCATGAAGTCCAGAACCATGTGACATAGCCAGAAAGAGCTCTTTGGCAATTGACAGTGTCTCAGACACATTTGCTAACCTGGTGACACTGGCCACTGGGGGCATCATGGCAAGTTCACATGTGACCCCTGGCTTGCCCCACCTGTTTCCCCTTTACAGAGCCACATTTCCGAAATCTAAGGGTTGAGGAGCAGAGATAGGTAGACTTTCTCTTCAATGTAGACTATACATGGCTCTGAGCAGGGTTAGGGTATTTCTAGTAGCTAATTAGAATTTCACTTCCTTCATAAGTAAAACTTGTGGCAACTAGGCCAAATGGCAATTCTCGCTTCATTTCTACACACCTACACACACAGCCCACCCAAAGAGCGGCCTTCCCCCAGTGAGAGAGTTTGGCTTGCCAATGTCTGCTGCCTTTCAGAGCTGAAGAGCACCCCACGCCTGTTCTGTCAGCTTTCCTTTGTCCGGTCCGCCAACTGGAGAGGTTGGGGTCAGAAGTGCTCCTGTTCCTCAAGTCTGCGTTCATTAACACCATCAAGCCGTTTTCTTGCACAAGAGGACTTTAGAAATGCTTTGGGCTTTTGTGTGCCAAGCTTTTTAAATCACATTCTTGTTAATCTGGGCTCTCACGACAGTAAGTGCCTCGTTGTGGTCAGGGCCCTGGTTAGGCAGTGACCTTCCTAGGTCCCAGAGAGAACCAATCGAACTGATAAGCACTGGGAGCTACGTGGTGACGAGGGACCATCTACCCCTTACACCAGGATGACCCCAGCCAGTACCCAAGCCACCTGGACTTATCCAAATTCCGTCATCCCTACCAGAACCCACTTTCATTTCTTTTTCTAATAAGTAATGTTCAGAATATAGAAATGTTTGCATAAAGTAGCCAATGTTTGTGGTGTATGCATGGGTATGTACTCAAGCCGTGTGCGTGTGTGTGTGTGTATATGCGTGCGTGTGTGCGTGTGTGTATGTGTGTGTGTGTGCATGCTGGGGCAGAGGTTGATAGTTGACATCAGGTGTCTTCCTCACTCTATTTTATTCATTTTTTTTCCTTTTGGTTTTTCAAGACAGGGTTTCTTTGTAGCTTTGTAGCCTGTCCTGAAATTAGCTCTTGTAGACCAGGCTGGCCTCAAACTCACAGAGATCTGCCTGCCTCTCTCTCTGCCAAGTGCTAGGATTAAAGGTGTGTGCCACCGCTGCCTGGCTTCTATTTTACTCATTTTTAAAAATGGGATCTTTCACTGAGCCCGGAGCTAACTGGTTCTGCTAGGTCAGACACTTAGGGAGCCTGTCTCTCACAACACTGGGATTATAGGTGTGCACTTAGACACACTCATATCACATACATGTTCTGTGGGAGCAGAGAATGGAGATGAGGGCCTGGAGGGGGACAGCAACCCTGAACTCACTTCTGTCCCCTTTCTATCCCAGGACATCATCGAAGGGGGCAGCCTGCGCATCCCCCTCCAGGAGCTGCATCAGATGATTCTGACACCCATCAAGGCCTACAGCTCTCCCAGTTCCACTCCAGAGGCACGCCGCCACGAGCCTTCGCTGATGGGCCCGGAGAACCCCAGCACCGATGGCAAAGATGGTGCCGCAGGGGCCAACAGCGTCACTGCCAGTGCTTCAGCTGGCGCCAGCGGGGGGCTGCAACCACCCCAGCTCAGCAGCTGTGACGGGGAGCTGGCTGTTGCCCCTCTGCCGGAGGGGGACCTCCCGGGACAGTTCACAAGAGTCATGGGAAAAGGTACTGTTCTCTCTAGGGAGCCCTAGCCAAAACCAAGAGTCCTGGGGGGTGGGACAGGGTTGGGGGAAGCTAAAAGAGCTTTCTGTCTGTCTCCGTAAGCAGCATTAACCCTCCCCCCTTAGAGAAAACAGGGGGTTTTCCTATGGGCGGTCTCAGCTCCAGCCTGTGAACCTCTCTAGACATGCTAAGCCCTTACAGTACGGCACCTATTGGGCCTTGAACCTTCAGGGAAGAAGGTGGGACAGACACGGAAAAAGATGCTTCAGGATACAAAACCCTCACTGACCCCTTCCCCAAGGCAGTGGTGGCTGGGAGTTGGTGAAGCCCCAGAACTTGGGTCCAGAGCCCAGGAGCACAACCTACCCAGTCCCCAGGCCCTGGGGCTTCCCAATGACCTGGTAATTCAGTCAGAGAGTGGTCATGCCTCGGACAACTCTTAGTACAAAGCTGTTTTATTCTGCCTCCTGGGTTTACATCCTCCCTTCCCCTTTCATCCACCTCGAAGGATGCTCTGGTGGCCTTAGACTGTTAGCTTGGGGTTACTTGATAATTCCTGTGTACCAGAGACCTGTATATCCGTGATTCTCCTAGGTGACTTAGGTGAACCCCAAATGCCACATTTCACAGAAAAGGAATCCAAGATGAGTGAGTTAGGAACTTGAAACCCTCAGCTTCTCCACCTTCCAGCCCCATGGTTATCAGGAGACCAAGCATGGCTGAATTCCATACGATGCTCCCCTTTGCGGCATTGGTAGCCGTGGGCAGACTGTGGCCTCCTCATGGAAGAACAGAGCTAAGTGGGCCCTGTGGGTCACACCACCCTTCCTGCCTGCGCTACTCTTTGCTTTCCCTGCGGTTAGGCCTTTCCTGCCATAGCTTTGGAAGGGGGCTTCTGAGATCCTCACGAGACATTCTCGTTATTGAGAAGACGTGTGGAAACTTGTGGCGGATGCCAGCACTTTCCTTTAAATAAAGAGGGAGCCTTACCCCCACCCTTTCCACCCACAGAAGTGGATCCCTGCGCCTTGTAGATAAACGGACCCCGCCTATGGTACAACTCTTCTAGGGAGACCTAAATCCTTTGAACTCTGGGGATGAGCTGGTGGCCAGAGCAGGCCTTTTCAGCCTTCCCTTCCCTCAGCTCTGCTGGGTCCTGGGAAAGACCTGCACAGCAAATCTACCTGAACCAGCTCCACCCTCCTGTCCCTGCACACAGGGGATCACTGTGGGGCTCAGCCCGAGGAGATGGTACTCCTCACACGATCTCCTCACACGACCTCAGCTGACGTTGTAACTCCTGTGTGAGAAGCCACAACCCAACTGACGCTCGGCATACACCATATATTAAACAGTCAATCTGTGTTACAGGGGTGGCTCCTGTTGAATGTGGGGTTGTCCTTGCAGAGCCTTTAGAATCTGTGTGTGTGTATGTCCATTCTTTTTTTTTTAAGATTTATTTATTATGTATACAATGTTCTGTCTGCATATATGCCTGTAGGCCAGAAGAAGGCGCCAGATCTTACTACAGATGGTTGTGAGCCACCATGTGATTGCTGGGAACTGAACTCAGGACCTTTGGAAGAGCAGTCAGAGCTCTTAACCACTGAGCCATCTCTCCAGGCCTATAATCGCCCATTCTTACACAGGCTTTAAGATTCTCTCCTGAAGCTTGGTAGGATTTCCATAAACATTACATATTTGCATATTTCTGTCAATATGGAAAGCCCCGCTCTTTTTTTAAGGCTGCACGGTGTCCCGCTGTGTATCTAAATCCCAAGTTATTTAACAAGCTCCCCCATGGGCAGCCCTTGAGACTGTTTCCAGGTTTCTCTTGCACACTGTTGTTCTGAAAGCCTGTGTGTAGTGACACAGAATTGGTGCAGATCTGTGTCAGGATGGTTGGAATGGGAAAGGGGTGAGATCTGATCCCTGGCTTTCAAGCTTGGTGTGCTTTGGATTGACAGATACCCAACTCTCTGACTCCTTTTGCGGGTGCCCTTTATGGCAAGGGCAGAGTGGGCCATGAACCATAAGAAACCTAGTACATTGCCAGGCGTGGTAACACATGCTTTTAATCCTGGCACTTGGAAGGCAAAGGTGGATCTCTGAGGTTGAGGCCTCAGATCTACAAAGCGAGTTCCAGGATAGCCAGAGCTACACAGAGAAACCCCATTGAAAAACCAATACGATGAAATAAAATGAAGGAAAAGAAAAAAAAGAAACCTAGTATATCCGTGTCCTCTCCCCACAGATGAACGCTGCCCCGTCTTTGCCGGCACAGCCTTGAATGTGTAGGTGAAGGCGTATGTGGATGAGTGTGTGTGTTGCACGGGGAAATAACCCTGCAAATGACTGAGTGGCAGGTTTATTCTGCTGCATGCACGCCTACATGCTGTACAGCCACAATGTGGCACCAGCCTCCTTCTACACACAAACGCCACTGCCTTCCCACCTGGAGAGGGCTGTGGGGCTCATTCATAAAATGGGATTGCTCTCCCACTGTGGCAGAGGGCTCAGAAGGCTTTTGAAGTTCCATCACTCAGAACCACCTACAAAAGCAAAGCCTGAGACCTCTGTTTCTTCTCCCAGAGTGTCTGTCTTCAGGCCTGTGTCTGAGGGCTTAATATAGAATGGTATGACAGGAACAAACCCAAGGGGTTCCTGGGGTGAGGGCTCCCGTGGCAACTGAGTGTTTGACTTCAATGGAATGATGAGCCTCTGTGTTTTCTGTGAGCCTTATGTAATATCACGGGCATGCGTTCCTCAGAAGGCCTTGGTCCTTTAAGAGGCAGGGCCCCGAAGCTGGAACAGTATGAATTGTTCTGATTCATCTTTGCTTAATCCACAGTGTGCACACAGCTCCTGGTCTCCAGACCCGATGAGGAAAATATAAGTTCCTATCTACAGCTCTTAGACAAGTGTCTCGTTCATGAGGTGAGTAGCAACTCACTGAAACTTGTTTCACTCCTTGCTTAGAGAGGTTTGTCAGTGTTTCCATGATGTGATCATTTTGGTCTGCAGCAACTTGGTTCTTGACAAGTGTGTGGCCGTTAATAACAGCTTCAACCAGAACTCGGCCGTGGCCACCTCTGACTTAAACAATGCATGTGTGTTCTCACGGCATCAGAATTCACCAGACAGAGAACACCAATGTCGGGGGATGCCTGGGATGAACTTCAAACTCCAGAAGAATAATAAGTGACCGTGCCCGGAGTGACTAACTCCCAGCACTGCTACCCAGCTTCACGGCGTAGAGCCTCTTCCCACTGTGTGATCGCACATTGTGTCTTTTAATGAGGGAAACTGGGGGAGATTGGGAGAGAGAGAAAGCACACAAAAGGTACTGACGACCGCTGGGACCGTCTGGATCTGTGGTTGTTAGAGGAGCTGTATTTGCAGTCTGACCTTTGGAAGGAGATGGAGGCAGGCAGGGTACAGACTCATGTAAAAGCCTGAACGAATCCTGGCTGTGAGCAGGATGGTAGCAATTCCTCAATAATACACAGGGAAAGGCAGCTGGGACTCAGACCCAAGCCATCACTGGCTCTGCGTGTGCCCTGCTTCCAAGAGTGACAGATGCCAAACCTAGATTAGGGGAAATACCGCGCCAGATAACTAGGGTAGTGAAGTCTTTTGATGGAGTTTGATGTGAGAACGAGATGGCTAGAGCCCCTCACATTCACTTGTAGGTGATCAGAACCCCTCAGGATGATAGATGCCCAGCCTAAAGGTCTGGCTTCATGCTGCCTTCACACTCAATCTCCGAGTGGCACAAGTGTCTCTTGCCATTTTTGGAGGCTTCCTTCTTGTGGTCTGATGCTGCCGAACCATCATATCGACTTCACGTCCACTGCAGCCATCACCTCTGCTCTCTCGGGTGCTCATCTTAATAGAACCTTTTCTAAGCAGATGAACTCCTGTAGCCCTCAGCCACTGTGAGCACAGTGATCAGCTGCCTAGGCTGTGCACTCAGGCACGGCAGTCTCTGAAAGAGTTGGTCCAAAGTCCTAGACTTTTAGCTGAACAAAAACAATTTCTCTAATAACTCCAGAGCAACCGAGGCCTGACTGACAATGACTGAAGCTCATATGGAAGACCTTCCTTCAGGAAGAGACAAGACTATATAGCCTGTGGGCCCCAACTAACCCTTTGCTTCTTGTAATCCTGATGTCACACTTGTTTTTGTCTTGGAAAAGTAAAGACAGAAAAAAGAGAAGGCAAGAATTCTGTACACTTTCAGGAAGCAGCGAGGCACAGCCACTGGCACTTCCTATCAAGTAGCAGAAAAGGCTGTCTCAAAGCTGAGACCAGAAGTCCAGCCCTAACATGGTGGGAAATAAGAAGTCCAGTCCTAGCAATGTGGTAGACCAAAAGTCCAGTCCTAGCAATGTGGTAGACCAGAAGTCCAGTCCTATCTCTGTGACAAACCAGAAGTCCAGTCCCAGCACCGTGATAGACCAGAAGTCCAGCCCTACCACTGTGATAGAGACTTCTAAATCAGGAGAGATGGCTCAGTGCTTAAGAGCAGTGCATCTGAGCTGGGTTCCCAATACTCACATTAAGCAATCCACAATTACCTGTAATTCCAATTCCAGAGAACCTCACACCCTCTCCCGGCCTCCATGGGCACCCACACTAACGTGTACATGCTAACATGCAGAGATCCCCCGATGCACACTCGCACACATGCGTGCGCACAGACACTTACACATAATTAAAAATAAAAAATCTTTAAGAAAAAAAAGACACGCCGGGCGGTGGTGGCGCACGCCTTCAATCCCAGCACTCGGGAGGCAGAGGCAGGCAGATCTCTGGGAGTTCGAGGCCAGCCTGGTCTACAAGAGCTAGTTCCGGGACAGGCACCAAAGCTACAGAGAAACCCTGTCTCGAAAAAACAAAAAAAGAAAAGAAAAAAAGACACAACTTCTACTGACACCAATGGGTGTTCAGGTGGATCCCACGCTCTGCCTGGAGGGGGACATTTGTGGGTGCCGGGTAAGTGGGTCCAGAGAAGAGCTAGGCTGTGTAAAAGCAAACTGGGGACTTGTCTTTCTTCCCTGTGTCCACTCTCAACACTGAGGCCTCTAAAGTTGAGGAGAAAAGGTGCTTTGCATCTCACCTCAGCCCGTGTTACTCAGACCCATGAGACCAAATAATGAGTCTAGCTGCCTCCACAGAACTGCGCACACGCCTCCTGATTGGTTTAACCTGGCCCTGGAGTACCACCCTGGCCCTTCTCCCGACCCTGTGCCCTCCCTGCCTTGTGTTTTTTTCTTTTTTGTTTTTTTCCCTTTTTCCTTTCTGGCAGTGCCCACGTGCTTAATGTAAAGGCAAGAACAGGGAAGTTCTGCCTTTTCCCTCTGGTGCCAATTCGCTTTGATTCCTGAGTCCTCAGACTACGCTTCCTGAGTAGGCAGACTACGCTTCCCTGTTCCACTGTAGTAAAGTGGTGTTGCAACCATGGTCTGTTTTCCCTGTTGAGACTTTTCACCCAGTGGTAAAGTACAGGACTCAGAGTGGTCATCTCTTTCCAGACAGTTGGCCTGGGCCTACCATGGGCAGAGGACTTGAGCTGGTAGTGTCCGGAAAGTCTACAGGCTGGGAATCTTCCTTCCCTGCCTGGGAGGCGGTTGGGATGAGACAGAGGCCATTAACAGGTTCCTTACAAAGGGGTGCTACCTTGTAGAGCCAGCATTCCATCTTCAGAGGCCCCTGAAAGCAGCTGAAGGTAACTACCTTCAGCTCACTTGCTGTATGCCTCCCAGCTAGGAAGAGTTGCGCACTTGGTACCCATGAAAGGCTGTGGTGATGTCCTGGGGATGAGGAGGTCCACACCGTATCTACTTAGATGCTATGTGCACCATGAGAGATGTCATCAACATAATGTGATCCTTGGGAAGGCATCTAGCCTCTTACTCCTTTGTGACTTGGACACTCAGTTGTTCTTCAAGCTCCAGTGCAACTGGGTTTTGTGGTTCTAAGACAATGAAACCATTTGATTTAGGCTATCAGGGCTATTGAAGTCATCACTGAGGAACTTACATGGACCACTCTGCAGGGTGCATCTCTTTGACCAAAGCCCCCTGGTTAGGGCATTAGGAAGAAGCATGCGTGGAACTGTTTGCTTAAGCACATCTTTAGTATCTGCTCCCAATGAACTTCATCCTCACAGAGCTCTTTTGTGTGAGTGTCACCCACATTTCCAGAAAGCACTACGTCTTTGGTGAGCGAAGTTACGTGAACGTATTCATGTATTTGAGCCCTACCCATCTGCCTTCCTAAGACTCACTGGGGTGAACCTCCCTCCCCAGGTCTTCTTGGCCAGCAAATCTGTATTTTGTGTCCTCTGCATTTAGCTGGATAAGCTAACAAAATCAGAGAGCCCATTTCCTGCAGTCTCAGCCTTGAGTCCAGTTCTAAGTATCTGTGCACCAATGGGTAGTCAATGATCATCAGCAACAAATGAGGAGGATTATGAGGAGACCCACGCGCTCACCTTCCACCAGAGCCTCTGCCACACACCCACAGGGGCCTTACTACCGTGGAGGAGAGCCACATGCTCACCTCCCATCAGAGCCTCTGCCACAAAACCACAGGGACTTATTGTGGCCTTGAGTTGGGCAAACCCCCTTGAAAATCCTCAGCGGCCTGTGGCTGAGGTCACCCAGGAAGAAGGGCTCTGTATGCTGAGGACAGCGTTTCCACCGCTGAGTGGAATCCTTTCGCTTCTACACCCAGAGGTCCCCGAGGTTTACAATCCCTCAAAGATTAAGCATTCTCAGGAGAAAATTAAGTCATCGTTTTTTTTTTCAATCTTCAAGAAACCTTTATAGAAAGCAAGGACATAGTCTGTTACTCTAAGTGATATTTTATGACTACTTATAGGATTCCATGGCTTATTGACAAAACCCTTGGGAGTGTTCTCTGTCACTCCTAATGCTAACCAATCCAACCAAATAGTTTCCCACGCTCTGCACTCCAAGTCTCGGATCTGGAACTTAGCAGGGCACTCATCTATGACATGGGATCCTTCTGCGACACTATGAGTCCACAGTGCTCTACCTGCACAGTTGCCAGGGTACTTTCTATAAACTGTTTCCTGGAAACCTTCTAGATTATTCATTCAGTCATGCTTTGGGGTATCGGAGAGGACCCTATCACCTACAAACAACAGTTGCCTTGGGTGATTTTAATATCCTTGAATTTGAGAGTCCCTGCATTAGAGACTTGGGACACTGGGCTATGGTGAGTGTCAAGACCATCACGGGGAACATGATATAGATTTGTGCTGCTTGCTGTAAACAATATAGATGTGTGTTGTGTGGTGACGATGAGGTAGACTTGTATTATGCACAATGGGCAAAATGTCTCCCCACACTCCAAATTTTACTAAAAGACTCGAGAAGCCATCAGGCCTACTGTCTTCCCTCAGCTCTAGGCGAAGTTCAGGTTAGGACTGGTGTACTGAAGTTCTTCACAGCTCACAGGGCTGTTTAATTAGAACTCTCAAGAGAAAAGCCCCCACACAGAATGCGGTCATCCTCTAAAGCCCTGAAGACCCCTCCAGAGTGACCATACACCATCAAATCAATTGATTTTTGGAGTGGCTTAGAATTTCCATTGATTATGAAAATGCAGGGAGTCTGCAAAGCTAGAATACCTAATCAATTTTGCAGCTCATCCTTGGTTAACAAATAGGGTCCAGGAAAGAGTCATTGGACGGGAAGACAGGCAGGGGTCTTCCAGATATGCAGCCAGAAAACACGGTTGTCAAGAGCTTAATGCCTGAGCCAGGTGCTCCCAATGCCAACGAGCTGGAATCTTCAGCACAGATGGCTCCAATTTAAGCTGACTGCTGTTTGGACCAGGTTGGAAACAGGTGGGGGGAGAGGCTACCGTGGCGACGCTGGCGTTTTCCTTTATTAATTGTATGTTTCCCTCTAGTGTCAGGCTGCATCAACCATTTAACAGTCCTGTTTGTTTTTGCAGGCATTTACCGAGACACAGAAAAAAAGATTGTTGTCATGGAAACAGCAGGTGCAGAAGCTCTTTCGGTCTTTCCCTCGGAAAACCCTTCTAGACATATCAGGATATCGACAGCAAAGAAAGTACGTTGGGATTTTGTTCTTTGTAAGGCATGGTGGTTCCCTGGCACCTCACTGCCTGCCTCGGGTCCAGGCGGGAACATGGCAGGTCCTTGCTCCTCATTCATGAGGATACCCAAATCACAACCACATCGCCTAAGCAAGCTGTGGTGGCAGAAAGGCTGTTAGGAGGGACATTCCCAGAGGAAGAGCCGAGTTTGGGCAGCCATAACTCAATTTCCACGGTCGGAATACTGATATGTGTTTAGAAGCATGGGCTCATGATTCAATAAATGTAGCAAAGCATGGGAGGTCGAACCACAAAGTGGGGCTCCGAAAAGACCTGCGTGGAATCTTCTGTCCGTGAGTGGAAGTGCAATGCTTGTCTCCATCCTGGCTGCAGACGAGCTAATTATAGTTGTGGCAGGGTGAGGAGCCCGGCGCTCGTCTATTTTGGTCTGAGCTGCAGTCTAACAGCGGGCAGCACCATTCTTGATGTTTCATAGTAGCTCAGCCTCCGGGATGCAGTTTAAAAATAAGCCTGGTCACGCTTCAGAGCATGTTACCTTAGTATGACTGTAAAGTGAGAAACCAGGGGCACGGGCGATGTGCCGCGAAGGGGAGGTTTGCCGTAGAAGCCAAGGGTGAAGGAGGGGTGACTTACACACGAGCAGTGATGGCGAGGATTTGGAAATCAGAGCGACCACGCCACTATCCTAGAGAGAATCAGCATTTTGTGTGGATTTCCAAACATAAAAATACAAACGTTCGTTTCTTCACTTGCACCTAACAGGTTCCGAATTCATTTCTCAGTACGCAGACAAAAGTTAAGTTGTTAAATTTAGGGGGTTACATTTGCACAAGTATGCCTGGTCACTTAAAGGAAATAGGGCCAACTGGAGTGTGTAAAACGTGTTCAAGGACGGATTTACCTAAAAATTAAGGTGCAATCACATTCCACCATACGACACTGTTATTGACTAAGCCATTTCTTCAGCACGTGCCCAGTGGTGTCTGAGCACGAAAACACACATGAATCTGTTCTGTTCTCACAACAACCCTATGAAGTAGAACCGCTATTATTAACCTCCGTTTACAGATGAATTGACAGGCAGAGGCACCCAGGATTGGATCAAGTTAGCCAGTGCTGGGCCCCAGATGAGCGCTTCCAGCCACAGCAGAGCCAGGCGGCCGTCCTGGTTTCAGACTTATGCGCAGAAAGGATGTGCCTGCAAATTAATACTACTGCCAGCTCACCAGCCGCCGGCCCTTGGGGGTTGCCAGATCACTCCTGCTCCGAGGCTGCTCAGTGGCCCGGATGCTCGGCCAGGCCTGCTGCTGCACTGCCTTGTGCTGCTGCCAAGCCATCTGCTTCTACAAGCAGTGCCCCATTTCCCAGATGAGGAGACTCCAGGCCCTGCGGCCGTACCCTGTGCAGCCCCAGTCCTAGAGGAAGTCATTCTGAAGGAGGAGCTGAAGAGACGGCTTACAGGCGCTTTGCTCGCTCATCACTAACTCAGGCGTGCCGTGCCTTGCCGTGCCGCTGTTTGCCCGGTGTATCCTTGATCCGCATCGGAGCACGGTGCTGACGGAGGAACATGGACAGAGCTCAGCTTCTCCGTATTGCCACCAGCACCCCTGGTCAGGGTCAGCCTGAGGCCTGCCAGGTCGGAGTTCTCAGGGGCCTCTTTTATCGACTAGATAAAACCGAATTCATTCACCAATTATGGATGTTCAGAAGGATGGTGCCAAATCCGTGAAGCTCAGCCTGCTCTCCATATTACCTCTGGGATATTTTTACACTGTTAATTTGTTTTGAAAAACTGTTTCTCCCATACAAAAGAAACTGCAGGCAAGCCCCTGCTTAAATTATCTCACAAATCCCAAATTAATTGCTTCTTATTAATGTTATTTTTATCAAAGACTTTTCATGTATCCCAAGGAAAGGAAATCAGTTAGGCTCAGAACAGCAGAGAAGGCAAGGCCTAGATGCTCAGAGCAGAGGCACAGAGTGGAGAGTTTAGTTTGTTCTTTGTTCTTTCTCAGAAAATAAAATTATTGCCTTAAGTGGAGTGGTCGTAAGTGACCCGAGAGTTCACTCCGGCTGCCGGCAGCAGCAACTCTCAGCAAACCTGGCTCTGTAAAAATAAACTTCCGAGGGCACACCCCACTGTGGGGTAACACTCTTTCCCCTCCCCCAAACTGCTGAGTTCCAACTCAGAGGAGTCTCCAGGTTCTCCATTTCTCCAGCAACTGCCCCTAACAGCCTGCAGCGCTGATGCTGGCTTGAACCAGGTCTGTCCCTAGGTAGTCCCAGCACTTGGGCGGCTGAGGCAGAAAGTCAAGAGTTCGAGACCAGCTTGTGCTAGCTACATAGTGAGCCTCTGTCTTTCTTTCTTTCTTTCTTTTTTTTTTTTGAGACAAAGATTTTTTTAAATAAAAGCTACAATATTGCTTTCATGGAAGAGCAAATCATTTTAGTAACACTCATCTACTACTGTTTTGCATATGAAATAACTTTTTAAAAATCCAGCCAAAAAGGGAAGTGAGAAAACTCTAGTCACACTAAATAAGGGGTGTGGGGGAATCTTAGTAGAATACTGATCATCTCTCCACCAGGTGGCCCAGATTCTGACTTCAGAAGCCAAAGGACCTTAGAGTTCTTAGAGCTGAGAACCAAAATCCCCCCTCACTCACACTTTTTCCAGTTACTTCACTGTCTCCCCTACAAAAGGGGGTCTCTGTGTGAAATCCCCCTAATTTTCAATTTAAAAACCTTACATTTTTGAGGGGGATGAGGGAAGAGGCGATGAGATAAAGATCAAGGGCCCAAGAGTGACTTCTCTTCTGAATGGAATCTAAAACACTCTTCTTGTCCTCAAAAGCCTGGAAGAAGACGGACTGCCTCGATTTCTTTCCTGCCCCTTCTCTGCCTAGGAAATTTAGAAAGTCTGAGAGCTTTTGCACTGCTGTCCCAGACACCATCTCCCCCACATTCGCGAGCAACCATCTCGGGTTTAGGAAGTGAGTCTTGTGAAGGCCCCGCCCCCCTGGATTGCCTCTGGCTCAACGAAGCGTCTGCCGTCTCCTCACAAGCTTGGCGAAAACTCCCTGGTTTAGCAACCGAGCAACTCTGCTCCACCTAGTGGCCGTTTCCTGCAACGCACGTCCACGCCACCCTCCCTAATAAAGCTGACTGACTCCCTTGGAAAGAATGTGCCGATTCCTTGAAGCCTCCCAGAACCAGGATTGGTGGAGGAGATGAGTGCTTTCCTGCTGAGCTCATCCGACCCACTGGGAGCAGTCCCCTGAGTGGATCCGAAGAGCCGAGCCTTTGCAGCTTGAGGCTCGTCCTGCAGAAAGGGCCTGGGGAGTGAAGGTCCAGAGCTCTTGCCGTCTCATGCCCCGGCTCTCAGGGCTGGAGAGCATCACGGCTCATTCATTCACTTTTGCCCACTTTCAACCCAGCATTTACTGTGGAAAAAGCTGACTCCTTGACTTGGGCTGTGGAAGACACATGTCGTCCTTTCTTTCTGTAAAGAGCTTGTATTTCAATGGTGTCCTCCATTCAAGACTGCCTACAGACAACCTGATGGGAAACTAACCGTGCCCTAATGAAGGAGCCCCAGAACGGAGTCAGATCCCGTTATGATACTGATTCTGCTATTTTGCTTTGTGGCTTCTTGAAAGGCACCATGCCCTCCTGCGCAGACCCACATGTTGGACAAGACCAGAATGAGAGAAGGCTGGAGAGAATACATGAGTTTCCCTTCTGGGCTCCTATTTGGGTGCTGCCCCCTTCTGGATGTATCACAATTGCAAAATTTTCAAGCTTTCTGACTTTTTCCTAGCCTTAAAGGTTAGGGAGCCTACTTCATAGGGCTGTCTTGCGGGTTAACAGTAATGTGTGAGCTTTAACATCCAGCATGTACGGTTGTTTTTAGATACTAGATGCAGTTTTAATCTTAGACAATTATTGGCATCCCCCACCAAGACCTCTTAACTGTCAGCCCCAATGAGGCCCCTTGGCAGCAGGTGCTGTGTCTCGTGGAACTTGACTGAGGCTCTGGGTCCTTTCTTTTTGCTCTCACAGTCGTGGCTTTGGACAGTCCAACTCTCTCCCGACAGCCAGCTCTGTGGGCGGCGGCATGGGCAGACGGAACCCACGACAGTACCAGATTGCCTCTCGGAATGTCCCTTCTGCTCGCCTTGGTCTCTTGGGCACCAGTGGATTTGTTAGCTCCAACCAGCGCCACACCGCTGCCAACCCCACCGTCATGAAACAAGGAAGACAGGTTGGTTCTGCTCTGGGGATCAGGGAGGTTGACCAAGCTCGGGGTCTGAGGCTTTAGGATGACCCCAACCCAGACAATCTCCAAAATGGAAACCGGTGCTCCCCCCCCAGGGGATCTAAACCGAGGAGGTTGGTTGAGCCCATGCCTCCCAGGTAACCGGCACTTGTTTGTATGGTTTCCCTGGGAACTGAACAACCCTTGGCTGCTGCTTGGGAGGCCTAGTGCCACGTTAATCTCAGGGACCCTCATAGATAGCCATGCAACGGCTATTTCTGCTTGATCTTTACCCACCCCAACTTACCTCACCACCTTCCAGGTTGAGGTTCTGGAAGACCTTGGCATTGAATAAGCTTTCTTTGACTTTTTCTTAATGTGACAAATAACTGTTTTTGCCACAGTCCCAGCTGCAATGGAGAGTCCACAGGATTAAGTTTGAGAGGCTGTCCCTTGCTGTGAGATAGACAATGACTTCCCTGTCCCATGAGCCCGGTGCTGCCTTTCCCCAATGTTCCCTTGGCCCCATGGGGCTATAGAGGGTGATCTTAGGACAGGGGATATACAAGTAGGTGTGAGGCTTGAGTTCTCATGAGAGAGGGTGACTTCAGAACAGAAAGGTTGCACCAGGAGACGCTGGTGGCATTCCCTCCCAAAGGGAGGGGTTCGTCTGAAGAGCCCCCTTATCAGGTCTAGGAGAGAGAACCTCCTTGGCCAAAGAACCTGCGTGGAGCAGGCCAGCTGCCAGCACCAAGTCATCTTTTCCCCTCTATGTGGACTAAACTGGGGACTCTCATAGAGAAAATCCAACAAGAGCGCTAAAGTCATTACAGTCTTTTCTACGAGCTTTTCTAAGACAGCCCCCAACCCCCCTTTTAAAAGAAAAGGTGACAAATGGGTTAAAAAGACTTTTGGAGATAGTGAGAGGGAATGGATGGCCAGGGTAAACTGAGCTTAAAGCAAGGCCCAGGAATGAACACTCAAGGGGTTTAAACCATCTCTGTAAACCCACAAATAGGTGACAATGGCCCTTTCCAAAACTCTCCTGAGATGGCTGTCTCCTGAGTTCTGGCTGGAGCTCTGTTTCCCCCACCCTTCCCCAGGGGGTCTGTACTAATGCACGCCTCTTGTATGTCCCTCCCTAGAACCTCTGGTTTGCCAACCCCGGGGGCAGCAACAGCATGCCCAGCCGGACCCACAGCTCTGTCCAGAAGACCCGCTCGCTGCCCGTGCACACTTCCCCACGAAACATGCTGCTGTTCCAGCAACCAGGTAGGCCTGGCTAGCACGCAATCCCTTTCCTCTTTCTCCCAGACACAGGAGGGAGGCCAGGATGCCCTGATGACCCAGCCGGAAAGTGCTGAGCCTCAACTGTCACCACACATTCCTTTGAGCTGCCCAAAACTCTTTCCTTTTTTAAACTGTGCCTTGTCGGCTGCGAGAGCAGAGGCTGCCTGGCTGGGAGCCAGTGCCTGGAGTCCCAGCACTGGATGCAATCTGACGGGGATATTTTTGATACTTGTCAGATATCTAGATTCCTAGGTTGATTAAGTCAGAGATAGGTATCCCTGTAAGAGTTCCGTGTGGCGGGGGATGGGGTGGAGAGAAGATAAGACAATGGAAGAGAACACGGGAATGTCCCTGTCGCTGTGGAACTGCTTTGGAAAAGTGGAGCCGTCACTTACTGATCAAGGCCAGATGGGGAGACATGGTGTTAGTGAGCATGCTTCCTAAAACAAGTAGCCTGAATTCCATACAGCAAGCAGATCCCTGAACCCTCTGACCTCTAGGCTTCAGAGCTGCACCAAACCACCGAAGCCATGGCTACACCTATCTGGATGCCCAACCAGGCACAAACAAGAGATGCACCCTGCCTTTGGGTAACCTTACCCCACCTGACAGCCTGGAGTACCATGTCCCAGAAGCAATTGTTTAGAAGACTTTGATTTCCGTGTTCCCACAAATCTTAGTTAAATTTATTTTGAGTATTAGAACTTTAGAACCTCTTGGGCTTTTTTTTTTTAAGGTTTTGTCTTGGACATTGCAAACCCCTCCTTAAGGTCTTAAATCCCTCATGATGGCCAAAGGGTGAGGCAGCCACAGCCAAGACCCAGAATCCCTCACTGAGGAGAAAAGAAGCTGAGGAGAATCTCTGCTAAGTGCACATTCTGGCCTTTGCCAAACGGACAGTGACCGCGAGAACTGGGTTCTCAGCTTCCTTCACAGGAATGCCTCTTACCTCCAGGCCAGACTTAACCTGAGGGGAGGGACCTAGAAGTGGGTCTTTCTAGTCAGAGGACCCCAGCATGGCCAGCCATGGAGACTTCTCAGGGCTTCTGGGCACGTGCGGAGACTGGACTACATGGATGAGCAAAGCAGAGTGTGGGTTTTATCTTCACACAGCTAGGAGTGAGCGTGAACATAAAATGAGTTGGGCATGGTGAACTCCCAAACCAAGTCCTTGTCTCAGGTATAGGGTATGTGTTTCTCCCGGCTTTTGAGCGTCTTCAAAGCTTCCACTTCAAACCATGTCTCTAACACCTGAGAGCTACAACAAGGTCTAAACAAGAGTTGACTGTGTGAACTTCAAGATAATTGTCTTCTGATGGACTGCTATCTCTGGAGAGTGTGGAGAGTCCTTCAGTGTTTACTGATGATTGGTCATCTCGTTCAGTTCTACCAAGCGCTTCCCTCTTTCCCGGACTACATAGTCAGGCCCTTTTGGAGACCACCGGTGGTGGCTTTCTGCTGTGTTTCCACCTGGACAGGCATCAGGTGTCTTGGTTCCACTGGAATGAGGAGGACCACTTAGCAGGGCCTCCTGGACTGAGCCTGACAAGGACTGAGACACCAGTGTGGCCTGGGGCTAAACACACAGGCAGCACCCAGCAAGCATGCCATGCTGCTCAGAGGTGGGGTTCTTTTCCATCTGGAAGTCAAACGCAGAAATTGCCTAGAGAAAGATCCTTCCTTTTGGAAGCAGTTCTGTTTCTGTTGAGCCAGAACCCGTGGCCCTTGGGCTTCAGTCAGAGGCGATCTTAGAGTAGCTCTGGCCTGATGCTCAGAGACCATGAAGCCTCCTTATCCCCCACGAGGACCAAAGGGAAGGGGCGGAGAAGCCCAAAGCAGGATGCACGAGAAAACACAGGCAAGGTAGACTTCACAAGCCTGCATTCTGGAAACGGCACCCTTCCCTTGCACAAAACCACGTGCAAAGCACTTTTGGACCAGACTACCCATGTGCAAGATGGGTGAGATTGCTCCTCCCGAAAGCAGCGCTTCACAGGGGGACACCTGCCCTGCATATCAAGCCTCCCTATGCAATGGCTGACGATTGGTGCACACTTGGGAGCTCAGCCCTCTGGGCTGGTGTCCTCCATCCCCTCCTCAGTGTGTGATGCCTTTAGAAAGAACGAGGGCAGGGAGGCTGTCACTAGTGCCCCGAGTCCACTAGAGGAGTGCCACTTTGCAGACAGAGGCCAGAATAGAGATCATTTAAAGTATGTGGTAAATAGTTGTCCCCGCCTTCTGATAAGCTTAAGCAAACAGCTTGGCTGGGGCTTAGAGAGGTAGGGGAAACCCCAGCCAAGAATGCAGCTGGGCAAATCCCGCTTCCTGCCTCAGAGAGGCCACCTGGGTAAGATGGTCCTGTTCTATATTATCTGATCCTGTAACTTTTCACAGATGTGTGGGCCTCAGAGAATGGCCACAGCACGCATACCCCACCCCATCCCACGTCCACCAGCAGCAATGTGTCAGGTGCAGCTTGTCACTCAACTTCTTCCACCCCCAACAAACATTTCTGTGTGATCAGCCTTCCCGCCCCACCGGCTCTCTGTACCCTACCTGGGCTGGATCTTTTCCTTATCACCACCCTCCCCTTTTCTTCCTTATTCATCTCATTACAGCATTCTGTGTACTCCATCCCCTTCAGCACCTTGCCACCCTCACCCAAAAAAAAAAAGAAGAAGAAGAAGAAGAAGAAGAAGAAGAAGAAGAAGAAGAAGAAGAAGAAGAAGAAGAAGAAGAAGAAAGAAGAAGAAAGAAGAAGAAGAAGAAGAAGAAGAAGAAGAAGAAAGAAGAAGAAGAAGAGAAGAAGAAGAAGAGAAGAAGAAAAGAAAGAAGAAGAAGCCCCTTTAGCTGTGTAGTAAAGCAGGCTTGGTGGGCAGTGGCAAGGTGGTAATGCAGGCTCTCTTGGAACGCCTGGCCTGTTGCATATCTCAAGTCCCAGTGGGACTGTACTTGGCCCACGGTGCCATTTCTGCCTGGGGTAAGCCGTGGACTTCTGAAGTGGACTCCACAGCAGTGCCCTAGAAAAGAAGGGCAGCGGCATCTTCCCAGGATCTCTTGACACGGGGCCTGAGACTGTAGTGCTCTGGACTTGCTGGACTTCTGAAAAGGCACAATTTAAATCGGAAGCTGGGCTGGAGGGATGGCTCACCGGTTAGAGCTCATTGCTGCTCTTCCAATCACTCACACCCTCCTGTGTCTCCAGCGCCAGGGCATCTGACGCCCTCTTCTGGTCTCCCTGGGCATCTGCATGCATGTGGCATACACTACACATTCATGTAAACTTTTAATAATAAATCCTTTTTATTTTTTCATTTTTTAGTTCACCCTAACCCTGAACCCTTAGCTTTCAGAATCCTCACCAGCCCCTTGAATCAGCCTAACCATGAGGGAAAGAAGAATTCCTGGTATAGGTTGAAAATTCCTTATCTAGGAATGTGTTTCAAATGTCAAAGTTTTTCAAATTCCAGAAACTTCACACAAGCTTTACCCTAATCTGAACATCTGGAATGCATCCAGATCCAAAGTCTTGGTAGTATCATGTCCACATGTAAGGGATTCAGATTTGGGCTTTTCATGTTCCAGCAGCTCAGAGCTGTGGTCCCAGGTGAAGGAACAGACCTCCTGGGAAGAAGAGCAAGAAGGGTCAAGAAAGTCCTGCTTTTGTTTACTGAGGACTTGCGGCTAGATCCGCCCCTGCCTTCTCATGGGTGGCATGACACCTACATGTCACCAGGAAACAGTATTATCTGATTGTCCTTTAGAGCTAAATTTGAGGAGGGAGTGGGGGAGAGCAAGATTGAAGGGTGCTAGCCAGTCAGAAGTTTTGATCTACCTGGTCCTCTTTGATGTGTGTGGCAAGATGCCATTGGTCTGTTTTTTTTTTATCTAATACACAATTAAAACGCCACACCACTAAGGTTCTCTGAAATGTGAACATATGGGCTTCTCCAAGACTTGGAATTTTTCAGTACTGCTCTGAGAGGGGTGGAGATCACAGCTCCCCGGAGTGTCAGGATGAGGAGTGGGAACAAAAAAAAATGCAAGCAAACCAGCTTCCCACCTAAAAGAGCAGCCAGGACGACGGCTTGGAGATTCTGGAGCTGAGAGCCCTGTGTTTCTCAGCCTCCTTCCTGGAAGCACGCAATCCCAGGCTTGAAAAATGGCATTTTGCTGCGTGTTGGCAAGAAATCCTGCAGCTGAGACTCTTCTCGCCAAATGTCGAGCGTCTTTATTTATCTGAATCTCTCCACAGTGTTTGTTTAAAAGGGAGCGCTAGAGAGTAAACGCGCTCTTCCACTGAGCATATGGACGGCTATAATTGCTGAAGTTTGTTTTTTTTTTTTTTTGTCCGTATTTGCTAACTAGCTATATATAAAATTCTGTTTCTATTTTATAGGTTTCACACCCCAAAGGCTGCTAATTTTTGCGTGCATATGATTTTCACATGAATGGATGAAAATACGAAAATACTCTTCCCCCAGGGATGGTCTAATGGCCCCACCCCTGCTCTTAGCAGCAGCTCCTAAGCTTGGGAGAAACTCCTGTCCTTTCTCACTCCCACCTTCTCTAGAAAGCTCCCAGGCCTTCATCCACTCAGGAGTTAGCTCAGTTGCCTTACAAGCCTCATGGATGCCGCAACTTGCCACAAAAAGGTCACCGGATGCTGCTAGGTGCTTTTCATGTTGACCAGTTTTGCCAGCCTTCTCTGAGAATTCGAAATGATGGAACTGTCACCTGCAAATTGCAAAAGAAGAGCTTTAAAATTCTTTTTTTTAATTATTGTTGTGTGCATGTTTGTGTGTGCGCTCACATGGCATGGCATGTGTGTAGGGGCTAGAGAATCCCTTTCGGAGATCAAACTCGGAATGCCGGTTTTGTGCTTTAAACACTGAACCATCTCGCCTATCAGAGAAAGATGCTAATCTGCAGCTAATTAGACGAAAACAGATGTTTTGGTTTAGCCATGGCTTCAATTTGGTTTCTCACCAACCCACTGACACTTGTCCCTCAAACCAGCATAGTAGTAGAAAAGCAAGCAAACAGCCCAAACTTTGGCCCACTCCATCCTTTTCCCCACAGGCCAGGAGGAAGTCAATCCCAAGGAAAGGAACAATCTCCTGAGGTCACACAGAAAAGGAGTGGCGGTGTCGGGATGCCCCAGACACCTGCACACGCCCAATTGCCAGCATATGCTACGGGACTTCTTTTCCGCTCCTGCCCATAGGGTGTCGCAGTTTTGGCTGCTGGTGGTAGAAGAGAGAGCTAGATGTTTTAGGAGAGTCAGATGGTAGCGGTCAAAGCCCTGTCGCTGTTTGTGAGATTCTCCTCGGTACTTAAAGGCGTTCCGGGGTTCCACAGGAGAAGGGAGGAAAGGGGGCTGACACTGAGTCCCAGCCAGCAAGAGAAGGCGGCCCCTAGAGCTGCCTTCCATGGCGGGGAGGGGACAGTAGAGCCTGAAAGATGGAGAACGACCTGATGGTAGAGGGTCATAGACTGGCTGTGGCTGTGTGGGAGCTGCCTTGGAGTAAGGGTCTCAGCTTCCTCCATCAACGTGCTCAGAGGCTGAGGGTGGTGAAGAATACAGCAGTCTCCATGGCCGGCAGGAAGATGGCTCTTCTCCTAGCCCTATGCTTTCTACCTCGTCTTGATGGGCTACCAGTCTTCATGAGCCCGACTGTGGACGGAGTGTGTCAGGCAATAAAGGAGCCGGTGCAGTAGAAGCATTGATATAGTCCTTCCCTCAGAGGGGAATGTGCTGGGCTGGGTGTATTGGACCAGCTCCTCCCCATGAAGCAGAATTCCATAGGCCAGGTTTCAGACTCGGTGACTGTTGCTAAGCCCTGCTCCAATGACACCAGCCCTAAAGTAGGAGGGGCAGACGCGAGCAACATCCAGCCTTAATGACACAAAGAAAGGAAAAGGGGGAAAGAGTGTTAGGGGAAGGTACTTTCAGGAAGACAGTAGACCTCGAGCTATGGAGGCAGGGAAAGAGTGAGCAGGGAGAACATTTGTGGGCTGGCCCAGAAGCAGAGAGAACAGCGGTGCAAAGGTCTGGGGTAGAAGAGGGCTGAGGAACGGAGGAGCAGGGCAGTGTGAGGACAAGGATGGAAGGAGGCCTTGCAGACCATTGCTGGCGTTGGCTCTTATTTTTGTGGGAAAACCATCACATGACCCAAGCAAGAGTGATGGCCTGTAGCTCTGATTATTTATCAGTTTGCCTCCAGCTGCCTATGTCTACAGTGGGCTAGGCATCTACCAGACCACAGAGGTGGTCCCACTTCATGCTGGCCCTGAAGGTCCCCTTGTGTCCTCCTAGGGAAGGCACACTAGACACTTGCCCTGGAACTAGGTGGCATCATGGATACTTCCTCCTTGTCCCAGGAGTCCCAGTAACCAATGTACCCTTCCTCCTGCAGAATTCCAGCTTCCTGTGACTGAACCTGACATCAACAACAGGCTGGAGTCCTTGTGCCTCAGTATGACGGAGCATGCCCTGGGAGGTCAGTGTGTCCTCACCACACACCTGGGGCAGCTTGAGGGTGGGTGGGACGGGAAGAGAGCAGCCTTGGGGTGCTGTGGTGCCCCTTCCCTGCACAGTCTTCATGCTGTGGGGAGATGAGTCAGGGAACTGGAGGCCAGAAAGACCAACACTGTCCCTGGAAGCTCCTCCCCTCAGCACACACTGGAACCCCACAGTGGTGGTCCCAGCCAAATGCAGGAGCTGGAGGCATCAGACACACACAAGACATGGCTTCTAATGGGAGCATCTCCCACAGCATTGGATATGTTCCCTCTCGGCACTGGATCGACCAGTCTGGGCCAAGCATATCCCAACATGCTCTAAAAATAGAATTTTTGAAGCAAAGATCCCTGCTTAGTTTTATATCTCCCTGTTGCAAGTGGCTTGCGTGATGGTGGAGCTCCAAACTCGCTGAGGTGCCCTTTGCCACATGACAGACACGGGTTGGGTCCAATCACACATCTTAACTAGAGCCAGGAGCATGCTCCCCAAGTCAGTGCCCCTACTCTGATCAGTCCCGCCTGCAGTCCCCCGTTATGCCTGTCCTGGGGGGCTTCAGTGCTCTCTTGGGCCCAAGCTCAGGGGTCTGCACATTTGTGGAGAATTGGTAGGAGCAGAAGAGATGAGCTCTGTCTACCCTTCCGGCCTCCTCTTCCTGTCTCTTCTGCCTGGATGGTGGGCCACCTGAGATCTGGACCATTGCCACACCTAGGGCCTGGCTGAGCCTCCTCTAATGGAAGTGGGTAGAAAAGCTGCCGTCCTGAAAGTTTTGTTCCCAGGACCCTCCAGCCCTGGCTTTTAGATGTTTAGTCTATGTATGCTAAGGACTGTGTGAAAATATAATCTTGTCCTGAAAACAAAACAGGAAATAAATGGTTTGCATGGAGCAGCGTAAAGACCTGGAACTCCTCCCAGCAGCCTAAATGTCAGGAGGGAGCTCCAGGGGCTCCCACAGCACTACAGGGCTCCTGATGAAACAGAAAGGATCCAGGGAGCCCTATCTGCAAACCATTGCTCCACCTCTCTGGTCACACTGATCCTGGACATCCCACAACATCTCCGGGAGTTGTTGCCAGCTCCTCTCCCCTGCTGTGTCAGCAGCCCCTAATAACTAATGGGAGACCACCCAAACAAGGATCAACAAACTGTGGTGTCGCCATTCAGTGGGACAGTAACAGCCTTACCAGGGAAGAAGTGCCCATAAACACAGCATGGACAAACTTGAAAGCTTCCCTGGCAGGAAGTCCACAGCCCAGTGTACTGCTGCCCCTTGGTGCCCGGCTGTGTGGGGAGCCTGGTACTGCCTTGTGAGTCAGCAAGGAAACCTGACCTTCCCCCGCAGGGCCTGATGGGCCTCGGATAACTGGCATTTGGAAGCTCTTATCAAACAGTTAAGTGCTGCTGTTATCATTAGCAGTGAAAATGCCAAATATGCTTCATTCAGAAGTTTCCATTGAACAGGCCTGTGTTTGGTTTTGTATGTGTGTGTTTTTTTAATAAGCTAGTTCTTCCATTTTCTCGGAATACCTCTTGGAACTGATGAGATTTCAATAATGCTTTCATCTTGTTAATCTCCTAAGCCTTTTTATTGCTGTGTTTTTGTTTTTTGTTTTTGTTTTCTCTCAACAATCCCTTCTTGTAGGCAGCCTCCTCCTAAGCAGTCTCAGGGGCAAAGGATGTAAATCAAACTGAAGGTGGCTTAGCCCAGTACAGGAGCACTGTGGCCTCCAGCTATGGCAGGGTTTCTAGGGGTCAGCCCTTTCCAGGTGCCAGGGGAGAGAATCCTGCTGGGGACTTCACGCCAGCAAAGTAAATCATTTTATAGAAAGACAAATGGCAAGAAGAAAGCACAATTAAATTTCCTCTGGGGCTGGGGAAACAGTCCAGTGGGCAAAGTGCTTGCCATAAAAGCCTTAGGATCTGAGTTCAAATCCCCAGAGTTCATATAAAAAGCTATTCACGGTAGCTTTCACGTGTGCCTGCAATACCTGCACTAGGAAGGTAGAGACAGGCAGATCGCTGGAGTTTTCAAGGTCTAGCCATGAGTGAGTTCTAGATTCAGGAGAGACTGTCTCAAAAATAAGATGGAAAATAATGAAGATCCCTGACATCGACCTCTGACCTCTACACACACAGACACTTGCACTTATGCACGTGTGCACATACGGACAGAAATGAGACATATAACAGGAAAGGGAGGAAAAGAGAAAAGAAGTCCCTGTGAGGTGACGCAGGGATGCAGGAGGATGGTGTCAAGTCATCTGTATCTAGATGACATCCACTGTGGTCCACAGTGCCAACTTTTAAGTGTCTTTGATGTCTCTGCTCTTCTCTGTTTCCTTGGCAACTGCTGCCCTCCGGGTTCTTGTCTAAGCCATTTTTCTCTTGGCCTTCCTTTGCCATCTCTTCTTCCCTGAAACCCCTGAAGAAAAAAAAAAAAAACCAAAAGGACACTCAGGTAGAGGGTTGCGAATCTTTCATCAGACTCTGTGACTCTGTTCTGCCTAGGGTGTGTCACCTGAGGTACTCAGGCGAGATGAACCTCTAAGCCCCTTATAGAGGGGTTCCGGGATCTACAAGCTAGCTTGCTGTCAGAGTCTGAGGCCCTTTCTCAGGGGTTTTCACCCTCTTCCTTTTCCCCTTCCCAGCCCCCCTCTTCCCTAAGCCTCACCAGCCCCACTGTTGCAGATGCAGAAATCCTATGCAGGTTATTTTCTCAAGGCACTGGGGTGGCATTTATTGCAGTGCTAAGTATTAAACCTATGGTGCTTGCTTGGGTGTGGCGCCCCCTGAAGTTGTCAGTGTGCAGTTTTCACAGTGCAAATAGTAAATCTGCCTTCCCTTGGAAGACACAGCCTGTGGTTGAAATGCACAGTTAATGTGCCTTGGAGCTGAGCTAGTTGAGATTTTCACACTCCCGGCTCCTCACTTTCACAACTCTGAAGATTTAGCACTAATGTGTGGGCCGGAGAGCCAAGCAAGAGTATGCTCTACTTTTAGAGATATCTCCAGACATCCACACGCCAGAGTGACCTCTGCACACACTCCTGTTCTACGACTGTTGAGCCCTATGCACAGGCTCAGGCTGACACCGCAGAGAGTCAGCTGTTGATCAGAAGTCCATACCTATGGGCTAGCTGATGCTCCCATACCCCAAACCAGCGGGGGCCACTGTCTCTTAAAAAATCCCTCCCTAAATTGGCATAGCTTACACATATGCTTGTCCATTCTTGTCTATACACACGCACATGTGCACACACGAGTACAAATAGAATTGGGGAAATCTAAATAAGGTCGATGGACTAGGTCAAAGTCAGTGTCCTCACTGTAATGTCCCGTTACGCCTGTGCAAATTGCCACTACTCTAGGACCTGACACGGCGCCCATACGACCTTTCTAGACCATTTCTTACAGATGCATGTGAACCTATAATTATCTCAATAGCGTCTGCAACAACAGCAACAACAAAAAACTCTCCTCCGAGTTCAAGCTGGCAGAATTGCCAGTACGACACCGCCAACAAGGAGGTCAGGAAAGCCCTGCAGGGGACTCACTCACTACCTTTCCATGTCTTCTAGGTCCCTAACTTTCCCTAGAATGCTCAGGCACTTCTGACTTGTCTCTGAGCCCTGCATAGTAACTAAAAATGTCCCCTCCACTAGGCCTAGCTGGCCATAATGGGGATTGAACTAGCCACACTGGCTGGCCGCTAGAGCTTGCCAAAGCCAGGGAGGTACTCTGTAGCTAGCCCACTACTGCCCTCATCCAGCAGTCGCGGGAAACCATCTTTTCTGCTCCGTAATGACCAATCCATGCCTCCCTGCCTACTGTATGTAGCCCATCATCTCAAAATGCACCAGCAGGGCTACTTCTTCCCTGCCCCACCCACCCCACCCTTGCCCTTCATCAGCCCACCGGCCAGAGGCGCCAAGCTAAAGAGAGATCGCATTGTTGTGCTGTTTTCAGTCTCCCTGTACCATCCAAGGTCCTCCTCTTGGTGTGCAGATGATTGCGTCTGCCGCTGTGGACCGTGATAGAATCCTCGTGAGAACGGGCAGCAGGGCAGAGCCAGGCAGCTCTGCTGTCTAAGTCACTCATGGCCTCTAGTCTCTGACACACATCTTGCCATGTGACCGATTCTCTAACATGTCAAGGAGGCAACCATCACAAGCTTCCGATCTGGATGTGCGCAGCATCTGCCTTTGCTTTTCTGGCCTTTATTCTTGCTGCAGAGAATTTGAATCAGCTATATCCATCCCCCTGATTGCCCAGCTGTGGGCAGGAGCAGGCCGCTTTGTCTATGGCCTTTCATCAAGAACTTCAGGAAGAGAGAAACGATGCCAAAGAAATGGGTTTGGGCTCCACAACTGCCCTCACATTCCTATTAAAGCCCCTTCCCTGTCCTTACAGACATGTTTTTGCCACTCCGTCCCCACCCCCTCCTCCTACACCTAGGGTCACTGCCAGCCCTTGCATTTCATAACCCGTCATTCCACCTCTCTGGTCCCCTACCTATCCTCCCTTCCTGCTTAGCACACTCCTACCGGCACCATTGGCAAGAAGTCATTTTGTGTCTTTATGAGTCTGTCCTTGACTTCCAAGGCTGACCCATCCATCCTTCCCTCCACGGTCCTTCTTTCTGGGAACACGTTGCTTAGAACCATCATCACTCTGAGCATTGTTGTTGATTTATGTGTCACTGGTGTACATTCTAAGATGTGAGTACTTGGGAGGTGAGAGTAGTTGCATCTTGGCTCCCAGTCTCAATGTGGTTCCTATTATATAACAACTGCCCAGATGTTAGATGGGCAGTAATGTCAGTGGGTTGGTGGGTGAGGGGGTGCGTGCGTGCGTGGGTGGGTGACTGAAGACATTGTATCAGAGCCTAGGATACTCAAGGTGCTGCGGTATTGCCGTCAGTGGTGGCCTAACCCAGAACTGGTTTTGCTCATCTAGTCCTCTGTGGCTCCTTTTCACAGACGGGGTTGACCGGACCTCCACAATCTAGAAACTGAAGATGAGAGTGACCGCGCTGGCCGTGAAACCGACTGCTGCGGGCCCAGTGTCAGCCATCTTCAGGGTTGCACAGACTCTTCCGAGACACTTTGCAGCCTTTTTCCCCTGGTCCCTCGCCCATTTTGATTTTGTGAGAGCGTAGGTCAGCCTTGTAAACATATCAGTAGACCTGGGGTTGGTCATGTTGTCATTTGTTTCTGTCATGGGATGGGACGGTATGCAGGGTGGGGAGGGGACGCGTGGGACTGGGAGGGGGTGGAGGGTCGCTAGTGGCTTCCTGGATGGAAATGGGGTGGGGAGAGAGATGCAAGAGGACACACAGGAGGGAGGTAGCAGCCCTGCCCTGGGGAACTTTCTCGAAAGCCAGGCTTCATCGTGGTCAGGCTGCAGAAGACGGAGGATATAGCGACCAGAGCAAGATGGCGGCTGGCCGGTTTGTGTCTCCCCTGACTGGATTTCCGTGCGGCCCGACTTGAAACAGTCGAGAGAGGGCTGTGTGGCAACAAGGGCAAGAGGACGAAATTCCCTCCAGCAAACTTTCAGATAAACTTTGATTTGTGTATTGTTTACATAAGAATTTTAAAGGGTACATAATGCGTAGCGTTTGGGTAGAACTTCTCTTCATACTATGGTTTTTGTAAAAGACTGATTATTGTTATGGATTCATTTTGTTTCATCTATTTTTATAATAGTAGCAGGGTTGTATTTTAAAATGGCTGCCAAGCTCTGCTTCTCGGGAAGAAGGATGCTGTCAAGTAGGCCTCGAGTTGCCTTCTCCCACCGCGAGGAGGGAGGGGCGGTGGGAGGAGCGTGTGGATGGATTTGAAAGGCGAGGATGTGGCAAGGACACAAAGATGGTGGCGCCATGTGATCGGTTATGGATTTGCTCATAGGTCACCCAGAAATGGTAAACTTTGCAACCTCCTTCTGGGCTGGATTTGCATCCCACCCTCCCCACAGGCTCCATCCTACCACCCCTGGTTGGTCTCACTCCACAGACACACAAGAGGACGCAGGTCCCTCTAGCCGGCTCAGACTCAGAACATTTGCGATGGAGGTTTTGCTGGAGCCTAAGCCTGGGCACCGTATCCCTTTTCACTCCATCTCTGCTGAAGAAGACTGGTCCAGCGATAGCGTCAGATCAGTGCAGAGAGGCAGAGGCTCCACCATCCAAGGCAGGCAATGAAAGCAGAGGCAGGAAAGGCTAAACTCATGAGAGAAATGGTGGCGCTAACCATGCCCGTGAGTCAGAGATGTGCTGTATCATGGGATGATTTATCCAGCCTTACACAGGGAAGGGAAAACACACTCACATGCACCCATGAACACGGTGAGAGCTTAGCTGTGGCTCCGAAGAGTCATCGCTCTATTTCTTAAGGGCAACAAAGACAATATTTCAGAATTTGATCCAATGGAGGATATTAGAGAGAATCCAAAAGGAATTGTGCACTGTACTGGAAAATTAGTTGTGCAAATGTGATGGTGTGAATGCCTAGCCAGAGGCATGATCTCGGAGATAATATAAGGCCTGTTTATTAAATGGGTGAGACTGATACCTCTTTAAAAAATAAAAAAGTTATACCTAAGTCAAAATTAAAGGGATCGGACCGTGCAAATGACTGGACCTTGCCCATGGTTATTTTTTCAAGTTAATGAAGGGCATTCAGACTTTAAAGGCCTTAATAAAAATCCACACAACTTTGTTTGCCTGTCAAGATTACAAATGTCCACCTAGCCCAGCCTTGCATGCTGCAACAGAAATCCTAAAGTCCTTTTACAGTCCAGAAGGCAAGGGCACCAAAGTAGACAGACAGCTCTCAGTGAGTACAGAAGGCTTGGGTACACTGTTCCATGCACACATCACAACAACAATCACAAAAGATTCAGGCCACTCTTCAGGGGACCAGCTCTCGGAGATGCAAATTCATGTGCAGAAGAAGGCAGCATGTTTATATATA